GTACATGAGGAATGAAAGATACATACTGAGGTCACAGCTGTCAGCAAAACATAAATAAATAAATATACATGGAGTTTTTTATTTATTTTATTTATTTAACCTTTATTTATCCAGGTAAACTGTTTGAGAACCACTTCTCATTTACTAACATGACCTGGCACCGAGTGCATTGTAATATACAAACCTTCATATTCAGCCAGAGTAAAGTGATTGTTTGTAAAAAAAAAATAAAATAAAAACGTTAGATTAATCACGATTAATCATGATTAAAATTTTTAATCTATGCCCAGCACTAAAATAAATCAATATGAGTTAAGTGGATTAATTTCACAGCCCCAGTTTTTGTTGAGGTGAATATTGTGTCTGACTGCAGGTGGCCATGAACGTCTACGAGCTGTCCTCAGCTGCAGGGCTACCCTGTGAGATCGACCCGGCCCTGGTGGTGGCGCTCTCGTCTCAGAAGAGCGGTGAGTCCCAGCACACACACACACACACACACACACACATACACACACACACACACACACAGTTTGTATGACCACTTCCTGTTTGTGTTTGCAGAGAACATCAGTCCAGAGGAGGAGTATAAAATCGCCTGTCTCTTGATGGTGTTTGTTGCTGTTTCTTTGCCAACGCTCGCCAGCAACGTGATGTCTCAGTACAGCCCCGCCATCGAGGGTGGGCCCACAAGTCCTTTCTTGTGTAGCAGTTGTTTCTAAAACTGATGAGCGTTACACTAACAGCTTAGGATGATCCTTTATCGTCTGTGTCTGTGTTCACTTTTCTGCAGTGTTAGCAAAATATCTCATAAACAACAGGATATTTTTTAATGAATTTGTCAAAATAATCAGTCGATGTTCTACAATCAGTTAACTGTTGAGTAAAAACCAAACCAGTTTACATTTTCATACCAGACTCGTCCAGTCCCTCTGTATTAGCACAGTCCAGTTTTAACACAAAGATCTTTTCCAATAAATAAAGTCAGCATTTATCCGAATAAAGACACGTTGATGTAGTTAAATGAGGCTTTGATAAGGTATGAACGGGTGAATTACTGCGCCGCTGCCTCCTAACAGCCTTGAAATGAAAGGCTGCAGTGTGAGGAGGGTAATAAGTAGCCTTCAGCCTGGTTAATATGCACACTGCATGGAGGACAGTGATTGGTTGTCTCAGTACACGACCTCATCAATGCCACGCTCAGCTCACAGTCACAACCAAGTGTTGAATACTTCCTGTTCTTCACCCCACAACGTCAGATTATCTCCAAAGTTTTACAGACCACGCTGTCAGACCACATGAACTGTGGGAAATGTTTTTAGTTGTCAGAGTTGAAGTGAACCCTTTGTTAATAGATTTTAAAAGCTTTATTGTTAACAGTGTGTGTTTGCTGCCCCCTACAGGCCACTGCAACAACATCCACTGCCTGGCCAAAGCCATCAACCAGATCGCTGCTGCGCTCTTCACCATCCACAAGGGCAGCATCGAGGACCGCCTCAAGGAGTTCCTAGCTGTAAGATTATTAAATGTTACTATAGAAATATTCAGATACTCAGAGTACAGCTTAATGATTTCTAATGTTCAGGTGTTAAGTAATACATTGTACCTCACAGGTCATATTTTTATTTAAAGAGCAGTTACTTATGTACCAGTTGAATTAAGTGTCAGATATAAATTAATTCAATTCATTAAGCTGTTTATTAAAACGATCTGAGGCTTCGTTAACATCTGTTTACTTATTCATTTCAACACTGTGAAGTCAAAATGGAGCTGAAAGTCAGATGTTACTGCTAAAAGAACACAAGCTACAAGATATCAAATACTAGCTACAAAACATCAAACACTAGCTACAACACATCAAATACTAACTACAAGACATCAAGCACTAGCTACAAAACATCAAATACTAACTACAAAACATCAAATACTAACTACAAGACATCAAACACTAACTACAAGGCATCAAACACTAGCTACAAGACATCAAATACTAACTGCAAGGCATCAAACACTAGCTACAAGACATCAAATACTGACTACAAGATATCAAACACTAGCTACAAGACATCAAACACTAGCTACAAGACATCAAATACTAGCTACAACACATCAAACACTAACTACAACACATCAAACACTAGCTACAACACATCAAACACTAACTACAAGACATCAAGCACTAGCTACAAAACATCAAATACTAACTACAAAACATCAAATACTAACTACAAGACATCAAACACTAACTACAAGGCATCAAACACTAGCTACAAGAC